CGGTGGCGACGAAGACGATCTTCCGTTGACGAGTGCACGCGAGCAAACCGTTCCAATGCAGAAACGTGATTTTATTATCCATGATGGGAGCAACAACAACAACAACAAAAGTTCCAAAAAAACAAGGGCAGAAAAGAAATCACATAAAAAAGGCGATCGTAATACATTGTAATTGTTCATGTTAATTCATTTATACTCTTTCACTCATTTTAACTTAACATTATCATTGCAGTGAAATTAATATCCAATTTGTCGAATTTTAAAGAAATCGTACCTGAGTTACAAGATAGTAAATAATTCTTTTTACCACATTCATACAGTCTATTATTCTATTTTCAATCGTTGCAGTTCAATAACATCATATTACTATTTAACAACCTTTTATCCAATTTTATAGAAGTCGTATATGAGTTCTAACTGTACATAGCTCATTTATTTCTCACTTTTATTGCCATTTCATTAAACGGTTTTATATTATATTGCAGCAGTTCAGAAAATATTACATGTGTAACGAATTTTATAGATTAAATGATTAATATTAAATAAAACTGACAAGGATTTGATAAAAAAGTGTATGATTGTCTACGATACCAGTTATCCAATACCGGAGGATCGCAAGATATACGGGTTACGTATACGTAAGGTTTCAGGGGATATCATCAAATTTACTAGGTTTTCCATTACACATACGTTAGTAGTTTGGGAGTATCGCAAGATATACGGGTTACGTATACGCAAGGTTTCAGGGGATATCATCAAATTTACTGGGTTTGCCATTGACGTATACGTGAGTAGTTTGGGAATATCGCAAGATATACGGGCTAYGTATACGCAAGGTTTCAGGGGTTATCATCAAATTTACTGGGTTTGCCATTCACGTATACGTGAGTAGTTTGGGAGTATCGCAAGATATACGGGTTACGTATACGCAAGGTTTCAGGGGATATCGCCAACTTTGGTGGATTTACTTTTTAACTCATGCAAATTGTTTGGAATATGTGAACAATCAAGAATACACGACAATCATTCTATCGGTACTATTGAAGTAGGTTCGTGCTTAGCTCGAATTCGTATTCTTGACGAGTCCGGAAAAAATCATGAAGTATACCGAACCTAACACGTAACGTATCATGGACCCGGAAATTCCCGTATAGGGAAAAATAGTCCGAATCCGGAAATATCCGGGTTCCGAAAATTTCCTGACACTTCAAGTGTTTTGCCCCAGAATCTATCTAATTCTCCCGTATACTTTAAGAATACGAGTCCATATCATGGAGTATCAAAACCCGTATTCGCCTTATTTCACGCAGTGTATGACATGGACGATAGTGATGACTACGAAGACGACGAGACCGATGATGATTTTGAGTGATGTACCTGTTATTGGGACTGGTGTCGTTGGATTTGGCTTTTTCAAAAGATTTTGTAATTATTCAACTGCGCACAGAAATTTGATTGGATAATTTACAACATGATAGTTCTTGGTGATCGCGACAAAAATGAATTTGTTTGTTAGCAGCATAACAAATATCTTATCATGTCAAAACTGCAGCGATCAGAAAGAAAGGCAAAAATATTTTTAATTACATATTAACTACTTCTAAAGGTATCTTTCTCAATATCATACGCTTTGAAAATATCAAAGAATAACGTAAAATCAAAAATCATTCATAAACATCAAAAAATATTAAAAACACTAACGTCTTAAAGCGTATTTTATAAATCTGAGTCGACATTCTGTTCAGCGGTTTTCCATAAAAACAATATGGCGGAATAGGAAAAACAAAAGGAATTTAGTCGAACTTTCGAGTGTTCTTACTCGTTAGATTGCACGTTTTAGAGATGTCAACAAGCAAAATCGTAAATGGTGAGTTTCAAACTATACATTTATTAAATTTTTAAGTAGTCACGAATTTCTGCATTTCAAATTGAACGATAATCGACCACACAATACGGCCTAATGTACACCAATGACTTAAAGGTTCTTTCAAGTCACCGGGAAAAGTCACAAGGGCAAATTGGCATCACGTTCAGATGTTTGAGTGCAAGAGAAACCTCCAAAAAGATGAAATGATGATGGTGATGTACTACAGCGAGAATTACAGCTGCTGCTACCAACATGAGGTTCAAAGTCCATTTTTTGAACCAGCACAAGTAATGATCCATCCAATGATTGTATACTACAAGAATATAATAAATGGTAAGGATGTCATGGTAAAGCCAAGTCACTGTAAGAGTGTCTGTGACGGACTGGAAGCAATTGTAATGAATGCATATGCAAGAGCTGTTCTTAACTGAGAAGGCTGTTTTAAGTGATGCAAAATCACTATTCAGCTAATGCAAAAATAATCTTGAACATGACTTGAAACCATCTGGTGAAAGTGAATATTCGGAAAGACATTTTTTCTTTGTGGACAAAGAGAGTGTGGTGAGAATCAGGCCTGAAGCCGAGGCAAAAACATTAAAAGGGAGATAAAAATTGCATGCAGTAAAGAGTAATGGAGGAAAAGGAATTCTTCTGATGCAAAAACTATCTTGTTATTGTGAGCACTGCTCAAATGCCGAATCTGCATAAACAAGCAGCATGTAGATGATTGGTCGAAGAAAGTTTTGAATTGGAAGTTACTCATCCAAGGCACCAAACCATCAGATGATGAAGATGAAATGGAAGATTTTTTGAGATGGACAGTGATGAGCAGATTGTCCAGCTAATAGCCCATGAGGCCGAGTCCGCGAGGCCGAATGGGCTATTAGCTCGTAGTCCACGAGGCCGAGAGGTCTAATAGCCGACTTGCGAGTTATACGATGCGAGTGGACTGGTGCCGAAATACGGCATCCAAACGAGGCGCCGTGCGAACACACTCGTATTTCACTATAATGGCCGCCGCTGTGAGAGACGATCCAAACACCAACGATTTCTCAACAATGAAGGTAGATGATTTAAAAATATATCTACAAGACAGAGGTATACAGCTTAGTGCTAATGGAAAAGTGAAAAGAAAGGCGGAATTAGTAGATTTATGCTGCAAAGCAAGAGAAATGAAGCAACCTAAGTTACTCGAGAATGTAGAAGATACCGAGATGGCAATCAAAGCAAAACTGAAGACTACTGATGGTTGCTTACCTGATCCAAGGAAGTTAAACGGTTGGACATATAACTTCTCTTCTATTCCAGAATTCACCTTTGCAGATTTATATACTTATCTAGTTGGAAATGAGGATTACAATGCGGAAAATCTTAGATCGTTTAAAAGCTTGCTAGGGTTCAAGTTATACCAAGATGGACATGTGGTTGACTTAATGTACTGTGCACTTTTGAATAAAAACTTTTGCCTTTTCAAATTCAGTGTGAAACCAACAGAAAGATCCAAAACAGAGGAAGGAAATCCGTTTTATAAAGGTTTTATTGTAATGAAAAAAAATGGTGAGATACACTCTGCGTTTTGCCAATGCAAAGGAGGCCTTGATGGCTACTGCCGACATGTAGCAGCAGCTCTTTTTGACATAAATGGAACTGTTGCGAACAACGTAACAGCGACTTGTACATCAGGGAAATGTGAGTGGAAAAGAAGATGCCATAAGAACGAATACGCTGTTAGATTAAAGGACCTAAAATTTACTAAAGCAGAGTTCGGCAAAGATGAGAAACACTTTGCAAAACCTCATGATTTTGAGCCTGGTCCTCTATCTTTTGATGTAGATACAATGAGAGAAAAACTGAGAGCTGGACTTCAAGTTTTATACCCACAAGCTGTTGCTTTACAGTTTTTTGGCAGTCCAGAAGATCCAGTAATACCAGAGAAAGAGGTTCTGGAACACATCTCTAATGACAATAATGTTGAAGTGAATGAGACAGTGGACATGGTTTACATCTACACCATGGAAGATTATGCAAATATCTTTAAATGTGAGAGCAACCTTGAGATTGGGAGTGATTGTTCAAATGAAGTTGTTGATTCATTTGTCAATTTCTTGTCCATTGATGGTAATCAGTGTGATGTAATATGTACAAAAACTATCCAGCAAGGAAACACAGAGTTCTGGTACAGTCAGAGAACAGGACGGATTACAGCTTCAAATTTTCACAAAATATGTCATATGAAAGATACCACAGACAAGACAAAAACTATTGAAATGTTAATGAATTATTATAAGATGGCAAGTGTCCCTGAACCACTACAGTGGGGTCATGAAAAAGAAATTGCAGCATCTGAACTGTATGTCAAAAAACTAAGTAGAACACATAAATGTCTTCATGTTGTGGAGTCAGGGCTTGTTATAAATCCAAAATGGCCTTACCTTGGTGCAAGCCCAGATCGAATAAGAAAGTGTGAATGTCATGGTCAAGTGCTGGTGGAATGCAAAAGCATGTTTGCAAAGAGAAATTTGCTTCCAAAGGTAGCTGCACAAGCAAATCTAGAGCAGAAGAATAATGGATTTCTACTTAAGCCATCTTGTAGCTGGTACTATCAAATTCAGGGCCAAATGGCTATCACCGGGATCCACACATGTGATCTAGTCATATACACCAATAAGGGTATCTTAGTTGTTCCAGTCAACTTTGACAGTGCATTTTGGGAACAGATGCATGATAAGTTATTTTTATTTTTTTTAAATTTCCTAGTTCCAGAGCTTTTAACGAAAAATGTTTTACACCAGCAAGGGCAATGATATGGGTACATAATATTATTTTATTGATTTATTTTACTTCACAATCTTATGATGCGTTAAGTCAATTTTAAGAATTTTAATTTATTATATAATGATTGTTGGATTTAATATAAGCAAATACATATACTGACAAATAATGATAAATATAATGATAATAATAATAATAATCTATGATAATATATGTGAATATTTCCTTTTGTGTTTTTTCATTTCTCAAATCTCATCTCACTGTTTACATGTATATTACCATTGCCTGTCTCAATAGGTTAGCACTTTTAAATGCTATTAAAAAAATATTTCATTCAAAAATAGGTATTAATGATAGTAATTTATCTTACAAGTGGTTTTTGTAAGTTGCAGAGTGCTGCACAAACTACTAACACATGATCAGCAAGAGGAGTCAGTGTGAGAGGCATATTTCCTTGAAATATCTTGAAATCCTTCAACCGCTCTATGGCTCTTTCTACATGTATCCGCACCTGTGCAATCTGTCGAGTGCTCTTAGTTGCTGCTCTGGAAAGTTGTTTTCCTGTGAAATGAGATATAAAAATACAATACAATTACAATATATTTCTTACTATATACAAACTAATAGTTACTACTACAGTCTTAATCTATTGATTCAAAATAAATAACTACAGTTGATAAGGAATGCAATACATGATGTGTTGTAAAACATTTAACATTGAATGATTGAAGTTTTTTAAAGTATACAATGTAATGTCGCTTTGTTCAACATTTATTTTTTTTAATGTTTAAATCAATGACAGGTTTACCTTTTTTCGAAAATGGTGGCATGTTCAAGTATACTTTTTTCTTTGTCAACAAGTCTCTCACATTGAATCCGCGGTCAGCCATAACTGAGTCACCCTCTTCGAGTAATTCTAACAGGCCAGATTCTTGTGTGATTTTTCTATCACCAGTGCAACCACTCCAAAATTGTGAAACAAAAGAGAAGTAGCCAGAGGGAGTGATGCCAACAAGTGCTTTAATAGTGTTATGTTCTTTATAATCACTCCATGTTGCTTTTTGGGCATAGGGTGATGTAGGTTTCTCTATATATACTTCAGTGCAGTCGATGATTATGCGTGTGTTGGGGTACTTGTTGAAAGAACGTGGAAGGTGTTTTTTGATATCAGCTCTGCTAGGCCACAACAACAGAGTTTTCTTGAAAACAGACGAGAGGAAACAGATCCAAGTGGTAAATGTGTGACTGACAAGAGTCTCTGATACATGGAATATGTCTGATAAATGTCTCCCTGTAATGCCTAGTCTTACTCTTACAAGACATAGAATTAACTCTTCAGGTAGTGAGAGTGTTCTCTTTGGTCCTGTTTTCTTTTTGTCAGTTGTTTGATAATTCAATGTTTTGCCTTTGTTTGTATCCCAGTAGTTTAGCTTTTTACCTCCTGATTCAAGGACATCACAGAGTAGGTTAAATGTGCCTATTGTTGATAGTCCTGTGTAAAATTTGACAGAATCATCACTTTTTAAAACATCTTCGACAAAAAGATCTCTCTTCAATTTGCTTTTTTGTGTAAATCGTCTTTCAAGCTCTTTAATCTTACGTTCTAGTGAATCTATATCTGACATTGTTACATCCGTTTGACAGCCGACATGTACATTGTAGATTTCATTGACATTTCGTCGACAAAGATGCACAATAACAATGATCATGCTCTATTTTTTTCACATTTATGATAAGTTCTGAATGGGAATTAGTTGAAATTTTGTCTCCATTCATATAAGGAACATTTTGTGACTCGCCTGTTGCAATTGGGAACAATTGTGAATGTTCTTGTCTCACTTTGTTACAATGATTATCGAGACGTCTTTTCTTTCGCGATTCTCTTGAGGTTTCTTGATTATCTTGATCGCCAGATACTTTGAATATCGTAGGAATTGCAAATGGATAAGTTACTTTCCGCCCAGTCAAAGTTTTCTTGTATGAATCGGGAGTAAAATGTGCACTGCATATCCGTAAGTTGGTGGGTTTACCAGCTTTAGCTTTCGCGAACTCTTTCATAAACTTCTCGTCTTTACGACGGCAAAATTGTAACCATTTTAGCCTCAATCTCTTATCCGTGGGAATAACAAAGTAAGATAAATCTTTCCTGTTATGATTTCCGTTATAACAGCAAGCAACGGAGCAATAAACCATTTTTTCCAATACTTCCAAATTGCGATTCCAACCTTGTCTTCGCGCGAAATTTTGAAATACATGTGTTCGCACGGCGCCTCGTTTGGATGCCGTATTTCGGCACCAGTCCACTCGCATCGTATAACTCGCAAGTCGGCTATTGTTTTAGTATAAACATACTAATCGGTCAAATAATGAAAACAAATTGAAATATCCTTAAAATAATTTATTTATTTTTATAACTTATTTCTTTTGATTTTCACGCGAGTGGTCTATCATAAATTAGACCATTAGTAGAGTAGCCAATCACAGCGCAGTATGAGTGATAGACCATTAGTATGTTTATACTAATAGTGGATATACCCAATAATTATAGTGTTCCTTTCTTAAAAGTTAAGTTTAGTAAAAACATGCAATCTTGTAGTGTCTGTACTCCCTCCCCCCACAATTCTACCAACTCACAGTGACATCACTTCCGGTTAACATGGCCTTCTTAATAATAAGTTGCCGAAAACAAAGCTCGAAGAGCTCACCGAAAAATATTCAAGACCAGATAACTGCGAACATCTCGTGGCGCCCAAAACAAACAAAGCAGTGTGGAATCAAATCAAGGAAAACACTAAGAAATTGGACACAGGACTGCAGAAGTGTCAGAAGTTGTTCCTACATGCAGCATATTCAGTTATCAGGCATATGCAGGCATCAAAGGCTGCAACGGGACAAACCAAAACGGAGGTGATCCATCCACTTGTGCTAATTATGGCTGGCAACCGAGAGATGAATCTTAAACGGAGAGACATCCTTAAGCCAGATCTAAATTCACAGTACAGTACACTGTGTAGTGTATCCACACCCATTACCACTGAATTATTTTGGGATGACATGGGAAAACAAATTGACGAAGTGACCAAAGCAAACAAGCTGACAAAGAAAATAGCAGGCCCAAAAAAATCTCGTGGGTCACGATTCCAACCGTATGGAAGGGCTGCAGGGAGTTCCTACCAGTCCAGGAATCGTGGTGGTGGCAGAGGATATTCAAAGTATAACCCTTTTTTAGGGGAAAGGAACACCGACCGCAGGAAGTCGGCTGTAAGGACACCCTCACACACCAAAGTCACGCATCTATGTTATTTACATAGATGAAATTAGTGAGATTATTAGACMTGAACAACCCTTTAGGGCAGGCCAATTGATGGAACACTTGGACTAGTGGAAAACAATCACCTCAGATCCATTTATATTGCAATGCATCGGTAATTGCGAACTTGAATTTGATCATGCTGCAGAGGGCAGTACAGTGCGTTTACACCCAGAATTTAAGTTTTCACATACTGAACAACAATCCATTGATGTAGAAATTGATAATTTTCTGGAAAAACAGATTATTGAACCATCAGATTGGGAAATGGGACAAGTTGTGTCCTCCATTTTCCTACGGCCAAAGAAAGAACCTGGGGTGTACAGTGTAATTTTCAATTTGAAATCGCTAAACCAATCAGTGACATATCGCAAATTTAAGATGGATACACTTGAAGCAGCTATCAAATTAATGAGGCCAGGGTGTTTTATGACATCAATAGACTTGCGGGATGCCTATTATTTGGTACCTATGTCTCCAGACTATAGAAAATACTTGAAATTCATGTGGAAAGGGCAACTGTATCAGTTTACTGCACTACCTATGGGGCTAACAAGWAGTCCGTGTATTTTCACTAAAGTCTTAAAACCAGTATTTGCAACACTCCGGGGTCACTATGGGCATAGTTGTTTGGGGTACATTGATGATTCATTTTATGCAGAAGATTCCGAGGAAGCCTGTCGAGAAACAACACTGCACGTAATAAAGCTGTTTACGCGCCTTGGATTTGTGATTCATCCTACGAAATCTGTATTTACCCCTGCCCAGTCACTAGAATTCCTGGGGTTTCAATTGAATTCAATTTTTTTTCGTGACGTCACGGCGCCTATGGCGGCCACTTTTTTTGTTCAGTATGTTATTATAATTTTCATTGTTTTTTGTCGCTCTGACTGTCAAATTTCTAGACCTTATGATATTTACAGTGATTGTGCGTATGATGTCAAATTATTGTCACTCTCAGTAGCCAATTTTGCAAGATATTCGAACATTCTATTTTGTCCGTTGGTTTTACGGCGATCATTTCAAATTAATTAAACCTTAATTAAACCTTACTTCGCGTGGCTTTTGTTGTACATCTGTTGCTGTTGTAAAGTCGTCCAAGCATGGTTCAACCTCTTTGTGAATTCCTGGTCATGATCCACCTACTAACATTCTTATTTGTATGGATATTCAGCCAAATCCTGGTCCTTTAGTCTCAACATTCAACTTTAATGACCTCCACATMACGCATTCCACGTCTTCATCGTYTGTAACTTTGTCATCCTCAAACTTCGSCAATTCAGTTCTTCAAAGCTCTCCTGGAATCACATATTCTCGTAATGAACTCTTCAAGATTCGTCGGAATTTTCCTTGTGTCTCTCATRATTGTTTTTCACTACTAAAAGATTTAAACATTTTCCGTTTTCGTAGCAAGCGTGCAGGACGTTCTYTAAGAACTGATCATTTRAATAACAACAACAATCCTGATACCGACTGTACCTCTGATCGGTGTACATCATCTAYGCCATCTATTATATCTACTAACTTTGATTTTCTTCGTTTTTGTCTTCTTAACTCAAGATCATTAAATAACAAATCTCTTTATATCAAGGATTATATTGTTGAAAGAAAATTGGATATTTTTGCTGTAACTGAGACTTGGCTCAAAAACTCTCCTGACTCTCACATTGTAATTCGTGATGTTTGTCCTTCTGGTTATTCTATTTTCCATATTCCTCGAAAAGATCGTTCTGGTGGTGGTGTTGTTATGATTTATTGTAATCTTTTGTCCGTAAAACTCTGTGAATCTACTGTTTACAGGTCGTTTGAATCAATGGAGTTATCTTTCCGTTCGCGTGATCAATTGCTTCGTGTTGTTGTTATTTATCGTCCTCCTTCATCATCGTTTGCCATCTTCACGGATGAATTTTCCTCAACGTTGGAGTCGTTAGTTGTTTCTCCTGGTAAATTGCTGATTTGTGGTGACTTCAATATCCATGTCAATGACTCTAATGACTACTCTGGAATCAAGTTTTTAGAATTAATTGATTGTTTTTCACTGCGGTGTATTGATACCACAAACCCGACTCATAATAAGGGCCATACTCTCGATCTTTTAATTACAAGTGCTGACGAAGACTTGGTTCGTAATTTCTTTGTACATGAGCCTGTTTTATCTGATCATTTTGCTGTTCACTGTCTATTGTCTATTGTCAAACCTGTCAAAAAACCACGATTTGTCATTTRTCGCMAACTTCGTTCAATTGACTTTTGACAATTGATGTTTTTCGTCAAGATATTACTGAGTCATTGCTATGTAAATCGCCTGCTACTGATGTGTCTGATCTATGCCGTCAATATGACTCTGTTCTTTCTACACTTCTTGATGCTCCTGCTTGAACAAAACTTGCTTCTTTTCGAAGAAGTGCACCATGGTATAATGATCAAATCCGTGAAGGAAAATTAAAAAGACGTCAACTTGAAAGACACTGGCGTAAAACAAAATTAACGGTTGACCGTGATCTTTCACCCTCTGAACTTGCAAATACATTTSTAAACGTCTTCAACAAGATTGTGAAAATTAGAAATGATTTATCTTCTCGAGTGATGTCCTGTGACTCTGATGTTTTTACTAATTTTGATGAGCCATCAATTAACTGTACATTTTCCTCTTTTGAACCTGTTACTACTAAAGATTTATCTGCCATGTGTAAAAACCTTTTTTCAAATTCCTGCAGCCTCGATCCCGTTCCTGCTTTTTTATTGCGTCAGAATCTTGGTTTGTTGTTCCTGTTTGTAACATTGTAAATAAGTCGTTATCATCTAGTTCTGTTCCACCATGCTTGAAAACTGCTGTTCTACGAAGCCTGTTAAAGAAGCCATCCTTAAATAAAGAAATTCTAGCAAATTACCGTCCAATTTCAAATTTAAAAATGGTCTCCAAGGTAATAGAAAAGGTTGTTGCAGTTCAACTAAACAACTACCTCTCAGCCAACTCACTTCATGAATCTTTTCAATCTGGATATAAGCGACATCATAGCTGTGAAACTGCCCTTCTACGTGTTTGTAATATTCTTCTCTTCCTTGATAATCGAAATTGCGTCGCCATGTTGCTGCTTGATTTGTCTGCTGCTTTTGACACTGTCGATCATACTATACTTCTCCAGCRTCTTCGCACTAAATTTGGTATTTGTGGCTCTGTTCTAAACTGGTTCAAATCGTATCTATCTGATTGTACTCAATTTGTCTCTGTTGATGGTGTCAAGTCCCATTCATTCTCTCCCTCTTAGTTGTGGTGTACCACAAGGTTCTGTTCTTGGTCCTCTCTTGTACATT